GGGAGCTGGTCACGTGGCCAGGCGGCCCCGGCCGCCCCGGCCATCATTACCGAGGCGAGAAGCGTTCGCCCTCCGCCTCTCTCTGCAGTGGGGGGCGCACCTCCCGCGCAGAAGAAGAACGGTTGAAAAGGAGAAGGACTCGTAGGAGGACTCGGTTGGGCTTCCTTTCGCCCGTCCTGTCTCCTCAGACCAGCAGGGAAGGCACTTCCGCCTCGGTAGCTGTCATGGCGGCAGGGGCGGCGCCGCGGAGTGAAGGCGGGTCCCGGCGCTCGGGGGAGGCTGCGGTAATTAAATCAAAACAGGGGGTGCGCAGGACCGATTGCATTGCTTGCTTTCATCTTTAATCATTTACCTGAAACAGCTGCAGAATTTCCACGGCGCGTCTGGGGGGTGCAGAATCGAGTAAGGATGAAGCGTTGTGAAAAGCGCGGATACGGTTGTGTGTGGAGCGCTGCAGTTCTGAATGGGTGAATTGCGGGTTGATTCCCTCTTGCGCAAACAGCTGGGAACTAGGCAATGCTGGTGGGGAAGATCAGCCTGGACTAGAAGTGTACTAACTGCTTATTGATACACATATTTAAGCAGATGAAACGCTTGAATCTGTGCTGCATTTTTATCAGTCTGCACCAAGGCCTTCGTCCCAAAATGTGTCATTTTGTCAGGCCGCACAGGGTGAGGGGACTTTGTCCTGCGGCCTTGGCTCTGGCCTAGGTCTTAGTCCCCATCCAGCAGTCGCGTTTTAAAGTAGGCACCAGCTGCTTTACTTACTTTACTGGATGCGCGTGTGCCTGAAGGAGCACATGCTGGTCAGCAGCGGGATCGGAGCCTCGGCTCTGTGCTCGCCAGGGTGGTGTGTGTACAAACTGCCTTTTCCTGTCCTCGCGGCGCTTTCCTGGGGTGCGGAGTTCCGTGTCATCGACCACAGGAGCAAGCTGTTAGTAAACATGTCATTAGGGTTGGGAGGATATCGGTTAGGCAGCCATGTCTCAAAATGAGGCTCTCGCTACAAAGCCCAAAGGCTCCGACTCTCCTGCTTCCCTGCGTGAATTTTAACCATTGCATTGCTCAACGTTTAAGGGGAGAGGGAACAAAGAGGAATACTGAGCACTAACTTTCTTTTTCCCTCACCAAGATAGTTTATCTGATTGCATTTTTCCTATCTTCTTTCCCTGTGTCTGCCAGAGTCTTTCGCACAAGAACAGAGGAGAGAGTAAGCTAGTTTTAAACACGTTTGCAGAGCTGTGGAAGTCGATGAAGTGAGTTTAGCAGAAGGGCAGCTTCTGGAACTGCTGAAAACTTAATTCCTCCTGTGTTCACTGTGTCTAACTGCTCTGGCTGCAAAAGAATTTTTAAAGACAGAAAAAGAACTCAGAAAATATAGAGAAATGATATTGGCTAATGATACTCACCTTGGTAAGTGAATGTTGTTAGTATTTAGTAAGTTCCAATGCTGACTTAAGTTTTGAATTTTCCTTTTGCAGGACAAATTCTAAAGAGAGAGAATTACAGAACTAAATCCTCCACCTTTTTCCCTGCTTCATGTTTCATTTTACATGCGGCTTGCATGCTGGGATCCGTAAGCATGGAAAAGAACATGTAAATGTTAGTGTGATTTTATTTCCATATTAAATTTTTGTGGACAGCTGCAGATGATCTATGGTGTTGGGGAAAAAGATGATTGTTTAGTTCATTTCAGATTTGATGTATTTTTATGTCAAATATGTCTGCAAGAATATGAAATAGAATGCAGCAGTGCAAATTGCAGAAGGCATTTACTGTAAAATTAGACTTTCAAATCGGGGTTTAAATGAGGAATCTGTGCTGACTCAACAAGTTTTTGTGGAGTGTTCCATTAGGGACAGACATTTTAAAAACAATTACCTCTGTCCAGTTCATTTGGGACAGACAGAAGGACAGACTAGATGCCCTGGAGCAAATGAATGGCTGTGAAAACAGTAGCTGAGAAAGGCAGGGAGATGGATGAGATGATTTCCGGAGGATCCTTCCAGACCTGTTTTCTGCCATCTCTGGCTCCCAGCAGACTTCATTGCCTCCAGCCCTGCAGCTTTACTGTTTTCATCCTGTTAAGGTTACTTGCTCTGGACAGGGAGTTCCACTGCCTTTGGTTCCACCTTTGTTAGATGAATGCAAACCATTTTCAGGACTGTGGTGCCCCCTTTCTTCAACAGGGAAAAGCAATTGCTTTGCAGCCTCTCGTCAAAGGATTGAGAGTCCATGTCCTTCCCCCTCTTCCATTCTTGCCGAAGATGACTTTGGCTCTTAGCGGAGAGACTTCTCAGGTAGAATCTCGTGACTCTTCCTGGTTCTACCCAGCACCTCACATATATGCAGGACAGAAAGACTTTATATACCTCACACAGGTTGGCTCGTAGCATCAGAGGAAGGAGATTACAGCGTTTTGGCTGGGGCGCTCAGCTTCAAGACCCCACATATTCAGTCTCCTTATCAGGATGAGCTTGTCTCTGACTCGCTTGAGAGTACCATCAGCAGGTAGATGGGTGCAGCTCTATGGAAACAGGTTCAAATAGTGGGCTAAACAGTATCCCAACCTGCTGCTTTCACAAACCCATCAGCATGGTTCTGGGAGAAGGGGAACCAGGGTCTTCACAGGCTTTGCTCCAAGCCTGCCTTCTAAGGCTGGTCCCCTGGGTGAGGATGTTTTGGGGATATAAGTGGAACACCCAGCACAATAGCATGAAGGCTGCTGTGGCTTACGGAGCAGTTATGAAGTGTTCTGTAGGAAGGATAAACTTGATTTAAACCTCATATTTTCCTCCAGATGCTGTCTCTGAACAGGAAGGTGTGAGAATATGTGAGAATTAACATGTATGTGCATGTGTGGGCATGCAACAATAAAAGGACCTTGCCTTGTTTTGGTCTCTGCAGCAAAGACTGGTGAATAATATTTTTGTTGATTTTATATCATAGTTGTTTTCAATAGCTAAAATTTGCTTGGAGAGCCCCTTTAGTTAAAGTGTTTTGTAACTCTTCACCAAAATGGGACAGAATTGTTCTTTCCTTGGCTGGAGAAACTGTTGGGATTTTATGTGTCTAGGGACTTTTTGAGCAGAGGACTGAAGAAAGTATGAGAGAGTCTCCTCACGGAGGAAACTGCTGTGGTTGCTACTAGCACCTGAACCTGAGCAGGGATAGGGGCCAGTTCTACTGGGAGCTGAATACAGGCTCAGCTAACACAAAGCAGCTACGTAGGAGCTTGCAGGGGAATCAAACTGGAAGGGGAAAAGCATGGAGAACACAGACAGAATGAGATATGTGTTGCAATCCAAGGGAGTTCATCAGAGTGGAAGAGATGCTTTCATTTTTGAGTTCTTTGCTCATGGCCAGCATGCAGCACAGGTCAGCAAACACACAAGCCTGTGCACAGATGCAGCATACGCTCCACTAGAGCCAGGCACGTACAGTAATACCCACCAGACACGATTGTGTTCTCACATGCCAGTTGCAAATGTGCAATGCAGAGGCGCATGCTGATTCCATCAGTCTTTATTGCAGCACAACAACCACTCTTCCTGCATGTCCAAAGGCATTCACCACATGTAAGACTGGTGGCTATACTACCTGTATATATCATCCCACATGCACAGATATTCAATGCATACAACACAATCCCACCCTCAAAATAGATATCTTCACCACACATACATACACAAGCAGAGCTCAACATTATGGGACAACTGCATGGGAATTTGGGTACAATCTCCCATGGTTCCCCTCAGTGACAACCATGGCCTCTTAACTGCCTTCACGATTGTCATGGAAACAGGAGATGATGGCAATGGCTCTGTTGAGATGGCCATTGCTGGAGGCTCTGGTAACAGAGGTCCACGGTCTAGGGGTAAATGTTGCTAGGAACAGCATGGTTGGGGGAGTTCAAAAGGAGCTTTCCACAGAAATGTACAGATGTGGAGCCATTGCTTAGGTGCACTAGCCATCAGCCCAAGACCTAGAGTCATAGCCAGGAGTGGGGGGGCTAAAATGAGTATTCACCTGTACAGACAAGGATGCAGGGGCTTAGTGTCTATTAAATTTGTCTGCTGTAAATGACAGCACAAGACCTTTTGGCCTTTAATTCAGGCTGTGGCATACATGTCAACAGGGACTTGAAAGAAAAGACTTAAAGAAAAGGGACTTGAAAGAAAAGGGATAAATCAGTCACAAAAGGTTTCTGTGCAGAACCCGTTTTCCCTTGCTATCCCCTGCTTAGTGAAGCTAAGGGTGGAGACCGCATTTCCAGCAGGGACTGTAATGTTTTTGCTCCTTAGTGCAAGGAACCTTCCCTTTCCAAAGCCATACAAAGGAAGCATAAAGGGCCCCATTAATCTTGCACACATTCCACCCATGAGGAATTTCTTTCCCTGTAATATTTTGCAGCCCCCCCCCCTTCTTCCTACCTCTGGCCCCTCATAAATAGCCCATTTTCTCTGGGATGGTGCTGGGGTGGGGAGGAGGGAAAAGAGAAGTTGCTGAGCCTGTGTGAAAGGTGAACCAGCTGTAGCAGCTGAGCTGGGGCTGGGTGCAGAGGTACAAGCTGAGCCTTGGCAGCTGTGCAATGAAAGGGGAAATTGTACTGCTGCTGTGGGACCCTTGCAAAGTTCCCTTCCTCAGAGGTGGAGAAGTTCAGGCGTTCAGAAATAGCTTCAGAAATGTGATCAGGAAATTGATGACAATGAGGGCTAGAAACCTGGATGACTAATAGGTCTAAAGCATTCCTCTGCCCAGCTGCTGTGGCCTTTCACGGGCTAATGATTTAGCCCTCTGAATTTAACAGTCTGTGTGTGTATTTCCATAATATACTAAAGAACCAAACGTCCCTGCTCTCTTCTCCCTGCCTGCCTGCCAAACTACCCTCTCTCCTGGCAATTTCCTGTGAGCTGCAGTTCTAGCCATAGTTCAACAGATCTGTTTCCCATGCCTACAGGTGTCTTCTAGCACTATGGTTGGCACTGTGGCTTAGAGGAGCTACAACCTGCTGGTACAACTGGAGACATGTTTTCAAGCCTTGGAATCACACTTGTTTTAATTTTTATTGCTGGTTGCAATAATTTTTATTGCACGGCTGGTCTATTTCCAGCCGTGCATCAGGGAAAAAAATGCCATGTGCTGTACGGACAGAAATGTCAACAAGCTTTTCCATGGGCAACAGAATGAAGAAGCCCTGCTGGCTTTGGGATTTGCCTCTTGAAGATGAGCCACCATGGAGCTTCACAGATGTCTGTTGCTGTTGTCTGTTATGGCCGCTCCCTTCATAGATAAGCAGAAAATACTCTAGGAGGCACAGAGAGGCACATTTACATTTAAGGATGCTCAGTGTGTCCTATTAGAAGTTCCAGTCCCTTATAACTTTGGCAAGCACAAACTATTCATGCTAATGGTTTCCATGCTGGGTATGTGCCACAGGCTGATTTATTATGGTGGAAGGTTTTTGTTGAAATAGCACAGGCACTTCCAAAAAAAAAAAAAAGTGTTATTTTACCTGGTTTTCTGGAGAAAAAAAAATCTTATAACCATTTTGCTGAGAAGCTCTGACCAGCTTGGGGCTATTATAGAGCAACGAGCTGAAATTTAGCATACTGCTGGCTCATCCTTTTGGCAGGAGTATGCTTCTTGCTATCTCTCAGGAAAATGTGCCAGAATCTGGCCACGTTAAGAACAAATTCTGGAAACATAAGCTTGCATCTGCTCAGTGGGGTAAATTAATTCTACTCTTGCATTCTCAGGAGAGTTCACCTCTACTGAACGCTGTCCCTTGCCTCCCCAGCCCGTGGTGCACACGATGCCCCCACACCCAGTCATGGGCTGAGGAGGTGAGCAGTCCTCTCCTTGCAATTCCTTGCAATTCCAAGAAGGAAAGGCAGGAAAATTAAAGGTAGAAGACAGAGGAAGAGAGAGAGTGAAAGGGCTGGAGTGGGGTATGATGGAGGGCTAGCCAGGCACGGAGAAGGAGAGCTGAAAGGTTAGCTGGAGGTGCCAGAGGCTTCATGAAGAAACCAGCTGCAATGTTGCTCATTAAGATTTCCTGAGGCCTCATTTCCTCTGCAGGAATAGCAGGTGACTTTTGGTTGTTAATACTTTGTGACATCAGGGCTTTGTGGTTTCTCTTTTTAATGCTCACAGGTGGGGATGTCTGGGTTTTCATTGCTAGCTTTTTTTTGTTTTGACCCCCAACTTCCCAATTTTGCTTTTCTTCCTGGCCTTCAGTCAGTTCAATGGCTCTTTCCTTCCCCTAAAATGCATGCCAGCTAAACCTGCAGCACTTCCTTTGAGGTGAGCATGCTGGGTGGCACGGCAAAGCCATGAAGGCTCTCGTTTCACCCATTTCCTCTGTTCTCACCGTGCTCCAGCCACCTGCAGGAATGTTTTTCGCACCTCTCCCTGTTTCTCTGTGCCAGTCCCAACTTCACTGCCTCTTTCTGAAAGTGGGCTCCACAGGGTCTGCAGGGTGCTTCTGGCCAGGCTTCCCAAGCTCAGGCCCCCCACTACTGATGGGCACCTCCTCTGGCATGGGCAACGGGTGACTAATCACCTGACTGTAATGAAAAGACCAGGCAGTTATTTAACAACCCCAGGGCTTTGTTTTTAGTCTGTTATGAAAAGTTAACACCACCAAGCAGCTTTTGTCTCCCTTGCCCCACGCTGGGCTGGTGTACAGCCCCTCTAGCCCCCTTCCCTGCAGCACCTGGGTGATGGTCTCCAGTACCAAAATGACACAGTCGCCCTTAAGATGAAAGGCTGACTAGTCACGGTGGTGTGACCAGAACAACGGATGCAAACAAGCCTCCCGGGCAGCCAGAACGGGCGGGTGGGAACGAGGGAGGAAGCTCTCGAGGAAGCTCCTGAAACGCGCACCTCGGGCTCCGCAACCAGGCGGTGTTGGCGCCGGAAGCGCCAAACGTCACCGAGCA